GTAGACCAATTTCCATATGAAAAAAAAAAAAAAAAAAGAAAAAAAAAAAAAAAAAACACTTCGTCATGGCGGCAAAGCTTTTTATTGTAAGTTTCTGTTTGAATTTGGCGTCTCCTTTACACAATTTTTTTTTTTGAAATGTCAAATTGCACAATTATATAGTCATTGGAAATGCAGGTAGTGAGTGCACTGATGAAAGGTACATTTCTGAGCTTCCATCTATTGCTATGGCTATTTTGTTCACATCAAATGGAAATGAATACTGTCACCTTTCTAGACTTTGTGAATATTTTTTAAAACCTCTCTCACTCTTCTTCCATGCCAGTTTCCCACAAAGATAAGACACAAAGTCCAAAACAAAAGGAGTAGAAATTTGTGGTTGTATTTAAAAACAAAAAATCAAGACGCAGTTTTGGAAGGTAATGTACAAATCCACACAGTCAGAATCAAGCATCTGTCCACATCACATTCCAATCATTCCCCCACCTGAACACTGTAACAGATGGGTGACGTCTATGAATGTCAGAAGAAAATATGACAGTCAGCGTCTCACCATGTGCCCATACTAAAAGAAAAAGAAAGGAAAAAAAGATCCATTCTCTGCACTCAGCCAGCGTCACTTGCGCTCACGCCACGTGTGATTTGCCAGCTGTCAATTTACCGTTTCACGCACCTCTGGCTTTGAAGAGGATTTTAGTCTTTTGTCGTGTGGTTCAAAAATACCAAACACCACACATTTGCAAAGCGCAAATGGCACAGTCGCAAATCAGCTTGTTGTGAGTTCAGGTGGAACCAATCAAGGTAGTGAAGGAGATTCCTTCAAATGGCCTTGCTTTGAGAACAAAAAGAAATAAATAATAATTATGTTGGCCGTGAAGGAAACCAAAGATGAAATGGTTACGATCAACTGTTGGGCTGCAGTTGCAAAACAAATCAATGTGATATTATTGGGACAATAGGAACCCAAGCGCATTAATCAAATCTGGGAACAAAACAATGAACTGATGAGCTTGGCAACAATAAAAGTGATGGATGTTTGCAGCAAATTCTGCTTGTTGATGTGGAAGCTAATGGGGGACTTCTTGTTGGAGGATGAGTGCAGTCAAGTTAATTCCATTGATTTTATCTTTATCTGTGGACTTTACAAGCTTTCCACTCACACTTATTAAGAAATGCAGCACTGGTTGGAAAAGTGCATAAAAATGAGTTGGAATAAACGAGTCGTTCTGTCCTAATCGGATTAGAAAGTGGTCATATATTTTTATAAAAAACTAAGCACAACTGTAAATTAAGGGTAATTTATTGTCATTCTTGAAACGTAAGCGGTAAGCTTCAGTGGGAAACCTGAGACATTGCTGACTGGACTACATAACTGTCCTTTGAAACAGTTTTTGCGCTACTAGTCCAGTAGCGCAAAACTTTGATATTCCACTAAACTTCAAAAAACTAATTTTCCAATTGTTGTACTTCTATTAAATAATAAACACAATTAAAATCAGATATGACAATGACATAAGTCATTAAAAAACATGCTGCTACCACTTCCTGTCATCTTCATCTTTTCCGCCAGTTGCAACATCATTGGTCACATGACTCGTGTGATATGAAAAAGTGTTTCCATTCCAGTTCTGCTCAAACTTATCAAAAAACTTGAGTTTTTGACATTAAGTGAATTTATTTTCAGAATTTCAATTTGCGCAATTATATGTGAATGGATAAGCAGCTAGTTTCAATCTGATGTTCAAAAATGTGGCTTTCCAGGGTACAATGCATAAACAGCAAGTACTGTAATTGTTGGGCCGTTGCTGGACTATAAGTAGCAGTTGTGTTGATTCTGCTGTGGTACACATGTGTCACATGTCATGAAGAACCATTGGCAGCCTGGCCCTCATTGGTAACTAAAATAGGTATGCTGCTCTGAATTTATAGACAGATGACTAAAGGATAATTGTCCTTTGCCAATGCATATCCCTATATTATACTAACAATGTCAATGTAACAGTGAAATGAGGGTATAAAAGGGTGGTATAAGAAAGAAAATCTTGAAAATCATATAACAGCTAACTTTTACTAAAAGATAAGCCTGCAGCATCAAAAGATGGAATATTAAATTAATCTTGCGCGCTCAAATGCGGAAAACTGCTGTCATCATACAACAAATCTTAGAACCTTCTTTGTTTCTGAATAAATAAATTGCCACTTCTAGACATCCAATTGATTTATTTCACAATTATAGTGTAAAACAACACATATTTGGTATGTTAGGCCTGATAAATGAGGTAAAGTTCATACATATAACCATTTGATTAACACATCCAACACAAAGTGTAATTGTAAGCTACAATAAGATAAAGATGAAGGGAATAATTGCTTTCCCACATGTTTTTCAGAGACAATTATATCCCAGACATGCCGAATTCAGAGCTCTCCTGCATCCAGCAAGGTAATTATGGTTATAGCACTGACATATAGACATGGCTTGTCTTTGTTGTTTGAATTCTCCTTTCTCTATTGATTTTACCCAAGTTGTTTATGTTCTATGTTCACACTCCTTTGATGATGAAAAGCTCGGTATCAGCCAAGCCTTCAGTCACACAATTAACCGTGCCTTTTGTTTACTTTGTTTTATTAGGAAAAATGATTTTCTGTCCTCTATTCATATTCTCTTTTTTTGTTATTCATTGCATCTGATTGTTCGTGTTTGCCCTCCTATTTGAAGACATATTTCATTCTGCTTTGCTGGGAAAATTGGGATTTTGATTGATCTGCCACGCATTAAAATGAGAGAAAGAAACCTCGTTTTTTTTTTTTTTTTTACTAAACACACACCATAAAAGTGACTCTTTTTTATGATTATACCAGGATAAGGTTATTCCATCTCCAGCAAAAGCAACTTCAAAGTTGAAGTAATAGTTGACAATAGTATTAATCTGCAAATGTCCCAATGCACAGAGACTGCAGAGATGCTTTAGGGATTGTTTGATTTATTTTAATAGTTAAACACTGGACCAGCTCTAAACCCTCAGCAGGATCCTGCCCAGCCAGGATCCTGCTGTGTTTTACAGGCAATGTGTCCCTTTGGGAATCTTGTGGGGGCTAGTCCGGGAGCATGGGGTACCTGATCAATTTATATGGGCCGTTAAGTCGCTGTATGACTGGCGTTAGAGCCTGGTCCGCATTGTCAACAATACAACAGGCTCATTTCCAGTAAGAATTGGACTCCAGGATTTATAGTTGGTGTTCAGGTATTAATCTTCCAGTCTTCCAAAAATGCATAACTATCAAATGACATTTTCAAATTTCCTGTCAACTCTAAACATTTTTTAACTCAAAAACACAGCAGGTGACTGGATTACTGCCGTAGCGTCCTGAGTACCAGGCTTAGCAAGTTTTCTGGGGGAAACCTTGGAGTCTGTCAAGGTTTCCCTTTGTCACTGATTCTGTTCATAACTTTTATGGACAGAATTTGTAGCAGAGCCAAGGAGTTTAGGGTTTCTTTTTTGGTGGCCTCACGATCGTATCTCTGGCTTCAACAGATTGCAATCTGCAGCTTTCACTAGAGCAGTGTGAAGTTGCTCGGGATGAGGATCAGTGCCTCCAAGGACATGGTCTTCCCCGGTTTGAGGGAGAGGTACTCGCATTTTGATTTTACAAGCAAGGAAAGAAATCATGAAATCTGGACACCCAGAAAAAGATTTGGTGGAAAAACAAAAAACAAAACAAGTACTGAACCATAAAATGTTTCATATGTGTCGGAGAAGTGATGCATCGAAAAGCTCCAGGACTGGACTTGGCCACATTTTGCTTTAGCTTTGAATGCAGTTTGATTAAACATGACTAAACAATACACATAAACCAGAAGCTTTATGCGTATTTTAAATGCAGGGCATACTCCAATCATGAATACAACCTACAAAAACATTAATTTGCTTCCAAAGATGCCCCACTCACCAACAGGTGCCATGCTGTGAAGACAATCAGTGTAACTCCCTTAGCCTAGTCATTGGTAATGTCATGGCTCCTGAGTGTATACACAGCTTTGACGTAAAGAAGATTTCCAAGTACTGTACATTGTTTGCATAAAACCTAGCTGAACAACAGTATTTTAAGGGTGTTGCCCTTCTGCTTCAGCCTTTTGAATCACCTTACATATTTTGTGGAAATGCCATTGAAAAACGAGGACAACATGTTTTACAGCATATGCTCCCTCAGTCTCTAATCCATTAAGACCCAGAAAGTGTGAACAAAAGAGTTTATTTTTAAAACTGCCTTATAGTGTCGCTAGTGACTGTCACAAGAAACTCCTAGCTAAATATGTCTGAGTGATAAAATAGTGAAATCTTTCAGAGGTATAAAAGTTGCCCAGCTCCTGCTTTTACAGGAAGATGCAGCTACATGAATTTCAATGGATTCCAACAGTGAGAAAAGTTCAGCTCATTATTCCAGTTGGCTTAAAAATGTTCTCTATTTAAGGAAACCCATCGAAGTCCACACACAGAACGTCTAATCTCAAAGACCCTTAACACTTGAACCCAGACTCTTCCTTCCTTCAAGACTGGATGTTTAAGAGAAAAACAGACCAAAGTGACTCTAAAATCTCAATTGATTTTCTAGGGAAGAAAAGATAGAAAGTTGCTGAAAACACAATTGATTAATTTAGCGGACTGGGGTAGAACGATGTTGAGAAAGGTGAGCCAAAGTTACTTTGAATTACAAATTATTGCTTAAGTAAAGGCGAAGACAAAAAGAAGGAGAAAAAATTTACAATGAGGACGAAGAAGAGCGGAAAAAAAACCTTTTGATTACAATCAGTTGTTGCTTCACTGAACATCTTTTGTGTCTTTTGCGCAATGCACCACCTATCCAACGCATGAGGACAAACATGTTTTTCATCAATCTCTGTTTTCATACAGCTTTTGTCAAATGAAAGTCAGTAGTCAATAGAACGGATGACATTAGGGGCGGAGCTAAACATCTGAAGTCAGACTATTAAACTCTGACACTTTGTGATGAGACCATAGAGACTCTGAAAATGGCTCTCCAAAAACTTGCTGCGTCCATTGTGTTGACCATTCTCATTTGCAATGGTAAGAAATATTTTTTACAAACTTGCCCTCTTCATATTTTGCTTTTTATTTACTCTTCTTATAATTATTATCTGACTCAACACAGTTCTGGGAGAAAAACAGTTATTTTCTATCTACAGAAAATAACTCTAGATTATTTTGGCCACTATGACCAAATTCTTACTGTTCTAGCATTTAAATAATTGTACAATATATTCACTTTATTGAATATGAACTTTGATTTGCAAGTTGTTGTTTTTTTGTTTTTTTTACCAGTCTTTCCTTTGGCACAATGCCAGTACTTGTATAATCCTCAGCTTTGAAAGTGGTGTAGGAATGCACATGACTAATAAACTTTCATTATTCATTTTGGAGGACATTTGTCAAAATTTAATTAAATCTTTTTTACCGTTATTCTCAAAGGAAATCTGAGCCCAACTATATAATCAGTAGAAGTGATGAATTCTGTATATTTTAGTATTCAATGCCAGGTAAATACAAATCCAGGGTCAGTATTGCCAATTCTGACACTTTTTATTTAAGTTTGATGTACTATCAAACATAAAGGATAGGAAAAATAACTCAAAACATATTGTGAGTAATGTCACGTCGCTCAAGTTATAGACGGTTGTTTCTTAAATTAATAAAGTCATCTTTGGTCTTTGTTTCAGGTTGTCAGGCACAACAGCAGCCAAGTAAGTTTCAAAGATTAACTCTACATGTTTTACAAGTTTCCTTCTTTTGTTTTCAGATTAGAGCGTATTAACATCACCTTTTAAGACAATGATGTTCTTTCTTAGGATTACTTGAGAAGTAGGTGTGCAACGTTAAAATCAGAACTCTGTCAAACTTGTGCGTCATTTAGCAGTGATTCCAATGTATACAGCCATTTGAACGATCTAATAAAATTTGCATTTCATTTTAGTTTTAAATTTATATGACCATTTTAAATTCTATAGTTTTTCAAATTTTTGTACAGAACAATTTTTGAAGTGCACTTGGTTTGGGCTTGGTATAAATTTGGCTTAAATATTGACATTCTGAAATCTGTCCTGTGCTGAACTGGTCATTAATTAAGGAGGGTATACTTTCTATTTACCTCGGCTGTAAGTGGTGAAACTATACACAATATAATTTTTTGTTACATTATATATCAACATTAATGAGATTTATTATTGTTTCTTGTTTTCCGTAACAGGGTGTGGTAATGTAGCTATAAAAACCCGGATTGTTGGGGGCCAGGATGCATCTCCGGGCCGCTGGCCCTGGCAGGTCAGCATACAGGGAGATAATGGTCACTTCTGTGGGGGATCCCTGATCACCGACCAGTGGGTGTTGACCGCGGCTCACTGCATTAGAGGGTGAGATTTATGTCTCATTGGGCATGGTTACAACCATTTGATCATATTTGGATTTACTTCCACATTTTTTTTCTGGTAGCAGTTAAAGCTAGAATACGTAACTGTTACAAAAATAAGTTTACATATTTGTTAAAACTATCTCCATGTCGTGACAATATGAGATAATGTGTGAAAAGACAGAGCTCCTCCCCCTTCTCCCTGAAGAAATGCACCGCTTGCAGTTGAAAACATCCAATCAGAGCCAGAAGGCGGGCCTTAGCGCTGTCAATCACACCTGTATACGCCAACAGCAGAGAAACAACTTACAGTACCAAGAAAATTGTTTATCCACTCACCAGCAGCCATGCTAACTAGCCATAGCATTCAGACAGCCTCCATGAACCAGCTGCAGCATAGCAGATAGAAACGGGGAGGGTGTGAGCAGCACGTAAACAAGGTGATTGTTTAGCAGCACTAATACCCTTCTCCTGGCTCTGATTGGTTGTTTATGACAGAGCAGTGTATTTGTTCAGGCAAATACACTGAACAAGATCCATAAGGAGAAGGCAGAGAGTTTGATTTTTTCACAGATTGTCTCATATTATACTGTCACAACATTGTGATAGTTTTAACAAATATGTGATAAAAGAAAAACATTTTCATAAATGTTACAGACCGCTGTTTTAGACAAAACATTTATATCCCCAATTACAATCCCTATGCTGAAGCATGATGGTGCAAGCTTCAAAGGATGGGGATGTTTTTCTGTTGCGACTAGTCCATACAGATAGTGTGATGACATTTTGATCTGTCTTATCATATAAATTTTAAATATCTAATGGTCGATGATTTGATTAGCCATTCAGTAGTTTAGTAGTCTTTACCAAATGCTTTTTTACTCAAGTAATTTCTTAGATTGCTACTCTCTACTTTTCCTTGAGTAAAACCGTTAAAATAGTGATACTCTTCTCACTTCTGATTCCTAGGGTGAAGGTGACAATCACTAAATGCTGATTTTACAACTCATTCCTTGTTACTTTTGTCTATTATAGTGACATCCTCATGTCTAAAGTTCATTTGGGTGCCTACAATTTATCGGACCCCAACCCCAATGAAGTGACTCGGGGGATTGTGCAAGCCTTCGTGCATCCCGATTACAACTCTCAGACTTACAACAATGACATCGCTCTGCTGAAGCTGTCGACTCGCGTCAATTTCACAGACTACATTCAGCCGGTGTGCCTAGCTTCACATAACAGCACCTTTCTTGAGGGTACCAACAGCTGGGTCACTGGTTTTGGTAGCCTTGGTAAGTTACAGATCATTCATTTAGCTCAAACGGTCGTGTTTTCTGAAGTCCCACATAACAAAAATGCTGAAATTGTTCTTCCATTAGGCAATGGGACCTACCCTGACATCCTGCAGCAGGTTGAAGTACCGATCATAGGAAATAACAAGTGCTCATGCTACAATCAAGGCGTTGTGCAAGAGGTCACAGAGAACATGATGTGTGCTGGCCTTGATGAGGGAGGAAAGGACTCGTGTCAGGTGACTAAGTTTTTTTTGTGTGTGTGTGTGTGTGTGTGTGATTTGTCATGTACCTGGATCTTCTCAACTCTGTAAAACATACAGTGGTATGATGTCCGTCCATTTTCTGTATACTCAATTTGCTCAAGGGACAAGACATGGGGCATGAGATGTTGGCAAAGGCGGGGCAGGTTTTTAGTATTTATTGAGTGATAGCGACTCACATGTGACACAGGGGCGGGTGGAGGAACCTGACCATTTTACAGAACATCTGTCTCATAATGTACTTTACGGTGGGTGGCCCTGAAGTGCAAACTACTACAGCAATCCGTCAAACACAACTACAAAATTAAAAACAACATATTGAACAACAGTGACATTAACTAAGCAGAATAACCAATTAAGAAAACAACATTAACGAAATGGAAGAGATCCCAGCAGGAAACCTGGGCCATCGCTGACTGGATGAGACTGCTTTTCACTTTAGAACCATTAAATCATTCTGGCATTCACTCCCTCTGTTTAGATGGGCAGGAAGACAGACAAAGCTCACCACTGACAAAAAGAACGAAGCCAAGCTTTGTATTATGTCCCGACTCAAAAATATACTTTGATAGCTGTGTCAAAGTTTCATATTTTCAACAAACGCGCCAAACCAAGAATAACTTCTGATTGTTAAGCCAAAAGTGGTGACGTCCTATCAGCAACAATATCTAGCTCTTCTATCTTAATTTGTAGATGTGCTCAGTTAATTTTGTGTTTTTGAATAAGTTGTGTTTAGTGAACTGTTGAAATGAGAAAGGGTCACCATATTACTGTTATGATATGGGAACAGTTTTAACAAACATGTTAAAAAAAACATTTTTGTAGAAGTTACATACTGGGAGTCCAGGTGATACACCACCAATTTATAAGGATTTCTTTTAGCTCAACTTTTTTTTGTCATATAAAGAATCAGGCCAAGCAGATTTTACACAATGTAAATTCTATCGTGCTTAAGAAAAAACAAATCTCAACTCTTACTCGCACAAAAAAATAATTCAAGCAGAAGTAAAATTCAAATCTCTTCTGCTTCCCCTCACAGGGAGACTCAGGAGGACCGCTGGTGATGTACAACAGTCTTGCGTGGGTCCAAGGTGGGGTGGTGAGTTTTGGTTATGGCTGCGCTGTTCCAATGAAACCCGGAGTCTACGCTCGAGTGTCCAACTATCAGAAGTGGATCAACGACACAGTCACTGGCATGAAACCGAGCTTTGCTGATTTCATCTCCGACGGGTTTGATTTTGACTCGTTGTTCACCTGCTCTACCTACATGCCTCCCACCACCACTGATGGCAGCCTCTTTGGCAGTGGTGAAAACCTGAGTCACTTCACTCACCTCGTGGCTCTCTCTGCACTTGCGCTCATTCTCCATGCCTTTGTCGGCAGCGTTGGAATGTAAATGTTGCAAAAACAAAAAAAGAAAAAGAAAAAGCGGTAACACTTTATTTGAAGGGGGGTGAATAAGACTGTCATGACAATTTCATTAACATGACATAACATGTTAATGAAATTTATATCATTACTGATATAAATTTGTTATAAAAGTATTACTGATTGCACTTTAAAAATTAGGTAACTATGTTATTAAAGGTAAAGTTTAAACAGTAATGATTTCTTAGTTAATGTCAAGTTGTCTTAAAGGCATTTTGAATAATGTCAACTTTGTATTAGAAGTGTCATAATTTACCGAATGACGCTTTATGACAACAGTCATAAATCTTCATGAAGGCTTATTCATGTTCATGACAGGTGTTATGTCATGTTTACTACAGTGTCATGTCAGTCTTATTCACCCCCCTTCAAATAAAGTGTTACCGAAAAAGCTCCCTTCTTCTTATGGTGCACCTCTGTAGCTGGATTCACCTAAGCTAGTTGCAATTAATTTTGCTTAGTTGAAAAAAATGTTAACACAAAGATGTTTAAGCAGAATCTCAACTTTACTATTAAAATCATCATCTGTATTCAATCCAAATTAAACATAGTTAATCCTGTACTGGTATATGGTTAAGTGTTATGATTACATGGGCAGATTTGCACTGATTTGTCACTGGCTGATGTACTTTCAAACCCTTTACAGGTTTGTTTATACAGTCCTTTGATTTGCATGCATTTATCACTAAAAATAAACATCCTTGGCAAATTATAATGATTTTTTGTGTATTCTGCAATTTTTCTTCTCATGAAAACTAAATCAAACGAATAACTTTCAGTCGTAAACATTACTTGAGTCATTATTTGAGTAAAAGTCCTGATCGTGCTGGTCAAATATTAGTCCAACAAACAAAGCTGTGTCCAAATATTAATCAAGTTAAAGTATTGGAATGAGTGCTTTCAAAGATAATTAAATACTGAAAGTACAAAGTCTCAAGAACCGTACTCAAATAAATAAATGTACTTCCAAACCGCCCAGCTCTCTCTCCTTATATCACATATCTGGAGCACTGAAGGGAGGGAAAATAAAATAAAAAGCAGTTAAAAGGTGGTGGAAGGTAGGGATGTTAATAGCTAAAACCGATTAAGAATATAGGAATGGTCCATTATCTTGTTAGGCAAAGAGATTAAAAAAAAGGGATTTTATTCTGAAAAGTATATCAGTTATCTTCCGTACATCATTTCTGAAAGGAACTGAAAGTACATCAATTTCAAAGTATCAAAAAGCATATCTTCTTTCTGATGAGTTTCCTACAAGTCTCATTGTGTACCAACATGCTCAAGAATGTGGAGATTATAATGGGCTTCTACTCTGAAAAAGAGAATGGAGGTACAACTTAAACAAAATGGAGTCAATTTGTTAAAATTTAATTAAATTGCAACTATTTATGTTTGCTTAACTTGACACCTTAATAAACTGAATACATTTACTTGGATAAACTTAATTTAATTTCTTAGAAGAAATTATCTAAATTTTCTTTTAAAGTTGGATCGCCTGATTTCATCACCGTCTACTGTAGATTCATTCTGGTTTTTAGTAAACTTTGTCATTACTGTATGGTTTGGCTCATGCACAAAACAAGGTGGGTCCAAACTGCAACGGGTCTGCAGAGGAGGTCATCAAAGGCTGACCTTCATGACGTAGGGTCAGGAAAAGGGTGGCTAAAAATTGCTGCAGACGCCACACATCCTGGACACAAACTGTTTTGGCTCTTACTCTCAACAATATTTCCAAAAACAAGCCACGATCGATACAACACTTTTTGAGCTACATTTGAACAACCAGTTCTACAGGGCTCTAGGTGCAACCTTCCTCATCCTTTCATGCTTCCCAGGAATCTTGAAAAGCAAACCCAATGAACTGTATAACAGTTCAACGACTCCATAATCCATCAAGATACAGATGTAAAAATATACAAAAACAGCTGCTTTTTTTCATAATGACTTTGTAAATAGTAAGCTAAAATTAATGTGGCATTATCAGCAACAACTTAAACCTTTAGTTCTAAAGTAAAACAAGTAGTCATGAAAAGCACCAAAGGAAATCCAAACTCATTTTTAATAGTACAATGACAATTTCCTGAACTACAGTGTCAAAGACAAATTTAAGATGGAAAACTGTTGATTTCATCAGAAAAGAAGATCCATATGTTGATAATTAAACCAGTGTCAGTAGTCTGCTGTTTGGGGCATACAATGTATGTTAGAAAAATGCTAAGAAAAAAAAGCTACAGCAATTACCAAAACGAAGCAATTATTTGAAGCAATTGCCAATAATTTACCTGAGAAGAACTATAAAGCCATTGGCAGACAAATTAAATTTGACATTTTACAGTGAAAATCAAAGATAGTTCATTTTCAAACAAAAAGGCCTTCTGTTAACTTCAACTCAGGCTAAGCCAGGTTTCAGAAAGCTTGCAAAATATCAAGAGACACACATTGGTGACACAACTAGCATTAGCATAGTTAGCTCAAATAGACTGAAACAGCTTCTCATCTTGTTGCCACAACAGGACAGTCTAGTTCCTCATTGGGCAGCATGCCCAGTGACAGATTTCCAGTTCAGTTTGTTTATTTTGGTTTTGTTTTTGGCTACAGGTGGCTTCCTTCCAAAACATCCAATCTTTAGGTACATTATTGCCAACTACTGAGCGCTACAGTATCTAAACTACATTCTTTTGTATATTTACACAAGGGAGATTATAAGGTAACACAGAGGAGCTCTACACTGACAAGCTCTCTACCACCTTACAAACAATAATCAATAGAGAAATTAAAACCTTATGGCAAAATTAAAAGAACGAAAGGAAATTCTTCAATTCTTCCGTCTTCAATCCCTTTTTGTCAACACTGAAGACATGAAGTGTCATTCTTGTTGTGTTGTTTATTAACACCCACTGTTGATCAGCCTCTAGTTTTCAACTGCCATGTTCTAACCTACCCATCATTCCCCAGGCTACCGTTACTATAGTAACTCTGAATATTCCAAGTACATAACAGAAATGATCAAAACGCAAATGAAAATCAAACACCTGAGGATCATGACAGCATGGACTGGTACTGTAAGGAGGATTAGCATTTGCACGAAGACAATGAAACTCGAATGTATAACCTGTTTCTAAGAGAGGGAAGAAAATGCACCGCGACCGGAGAGGAGTTTGAAAATGGCTTTCCCAAAGCTGACTGGGTTTGTCCTGCTGACCCTTCTGCTGTACAGTGGTAAGAAATAAGATTTTGTTTTAAATATTTCTTTCCGTACATTAAAATTTGTCTCATTGTGTCAAACTTGAATTTAGCAATACTTAGACAAAGGTATTTGACCATGTATTTCTATTTTTAAAATAAAAATCTATCTACAAAACATATCTAGTTAAATTATCTTAAGTCAGCCTTGAACAGTGGAATAGTGGTGGTCAGTTTCAACACGTATCACTAAATGTATGTTTTTTTTGTCCTAATTTTGAGATGAAGCATTCCTCTGTTCTGTGTTTCAGGTTGTCAGTCACAACCGTTTGGTAAGCATCTATGGCCAGTTTGAGAAGTTGTGCAAGTTTTCAAAGTTTTTTTCCCTCTTCTGCAAATGGAGAGATAAGTTATACTAATGTCACATATTTTAATACCAGAAGGTATCCCTTCCAAAGGCCAGTGTCACCAGACCTGTGTGCAAATTGGAGCTCAGTCAAAGCCGCCATAATTTCTGCCTCCTTTATAACGGCAGCCAAAGAGAAGAATCAACATAAAACACGTTTCAACACCCATGCATTTTTACCTGTTTTGTTTCATTTATTAGTGTAAGTAACAATGCCAGACGTAAATGAACATAGGAAATAAATAGCATTTAAAAAGAAAAATAAAACCCATAGAAATCAGCAAAGCACACATATCTTAAAGGTAAAAATTGTTCTACATAGACATGGAAAGTAAAATGAATATCTTATGACAGAACTTGTTGCATCTGTCCTTCCTTACTTATTTTTTCTTCCTCGTTGTCAGAATGTGGCCGTCTGGCGACCAACACTCGAATTATTGGGGGTTTAGATGCAAATCTTGGGACGTGGCCGTGGCAGGCAAGTTTGCATCAGAATGGTTTCTCTTTCTGTGGAGGATCGCTGATCAACAATCAATGGGTCCTGACCGCTGCACACTGTGTAACATGGTGAGAGGTTGACAAAGCATGTCCAATTTTTTCTTTATCCCTCCCACCACTGTCCTAAACGTTGTGGTCATTTGGACCCCAGGTACTTTTTACTGTGTGCGCGGTCCAGTGGGGTCGCACTGAACTGCGCTATACAAATAAACTTGATTGATTTGACCATGTGTTGTCTGGGTAGAAATCACACGAAGCAGCAATAAAAAAACAAACTTCTCTTAATAGGAACATGATTTTACTGACGGAAGGTGAGAGGCGTTCAACACTTGATAACTAATGTTGCCAATTTGCAACTGTTGTAGCCAAGTTGTTTGTGACGCATGTTCCATTCAAAGATTATATTGGGACAACTTGTAAACTACACATGGTTCATTTTTAGTATAATTATTAAGCCATATTTGAAATACAGAAAGAGGGTACAATTTTATTTCAAAGCCTCGTTTCAGCAATACGGGCATAAATTCCTGGACTATTTGTTCAGTTACTATGACAAAGATCTAGTCACTAAGTTTACCGTCAGGTCAAAAGTTCAAATTAATGATTGTACTTTTGTTTCTAAGGTATGACCTTTTCATCACAGAAGTCCAACTGGGTATTGTAGAACTGGATGTTACTAGCCCCCATCGGGTGAACGTAAAACTTGCTCAAATCATCTGCCATCCTGAGTACGACTCTCGGACATTTAACAATGACATTTGTCTTCTGAGGCTTTCAAAGCCTGTCAAGTTCACCAAGTACATCCAACCAATCTGCTTACCTTCTGAAACCAGCGATTTCCATGACGGGGATAAGGCCTGGGTTACTGGTTTTGGTGTGACTGGTAAGAAACGCACGACTGGTAAGATACAGAATATTTACTTAATTTTTCCTTCTTAATTCTACACGAATGCTCTTAATTTTTCTTTTAAAAAAAAAACACAGCAACCGGATCATCATCCAACAAATTGAAGGAGGTAGATGTACCAATTGTTGGAAGAAAGAGGTGTACATGCTATTATAAAAGGTCTGCCTTAATCACAGACAACATGATATGTGCTGGATATTTTAGGGGAGGAAAGGACGCATGTCAGGTAACTATATTTTTCCTTTTTCTTTTTTATTTTTTTTTTAAACACCCACTATCCAGCAGCATGTCACTCAAAAACGTTGTCTTGAGTGTCAAGGTGAGGCCCAACAAATTTACTTTCACGAGTGGAGTATTACGCCTTTTGCCATGACACTCCATTTGATTTACAAAACCTTTAGAAATTTCTTAGCGATTATTTCAAATGTAGTGGACACAGATGAAAAAGACAGGTAGAGAAAATGTTTAAAAGGAAATGAGATCGGACTAGATAAGAGAAATGAGCAAAAAGACAACACAAGTCAACACCACTGAAGTCTACCTCAATCTGCAGAAAGGGAGAAAAAGTAGAAAAAAAAGACCACAACAGCCAACATCTGCACATATAACAACAGTTGTAGTATCACTGGAAAGTCCAAGATACATGATAATACAAGATAGATATAGTGGCAGCCGCAACCCGAGAGAGTATCTGACAAACACCTAAATCTAAACACGTGTATGTGATGTGTCAGGTAACCATCACTGTGCGTTTGTTGTTTTAGATGGGTAAAGCATCAAGAAAATCTACTGCTCAAACAAATACAATATTATGTTTATAATGTAATGTTTGACATCAAGTTTTAGTATTTAAATACTTTTTTTATAAGGTTTCTCTGCTGAAAAATGTTTCCCTGGAAAATTCCTTAAAATAATTTTTACATGCTCTACTGCTTGTTTCTCACTAGGGAGACTCCGGGGGCCCACTAATGATAAAAAAGGGCGGCAACTGGATCCAGGCTGGGATTGTGAGCATGGGTGAAGGCTGTGCCCTCCCACTGACACCTGGAGTCTACACTAGAGTGTCCAACTATGAGAGTTGGATCAAAGACATGGTCACTGGCACGAAACCGCGCTTCCTCACCTTCACTCCCTCTGGCAGTGACAAGGATTCAAGTTACTTCTGTAACCTCGATGGTTTGGTTGACGAGAAAGCTTTGGCTGGTGGTGAAAACCTGAGTCCTTTCAATCACTCATTGGCGTTCTCCATTCTCACAACATGTCTCCATGTATTTTTTGGCAAAGAATACATTTAAATATACAGTGACTTCCTGAGTGCTCAAATATGTGGTCCTACCTATATGCCTCCCACCACTGATGACAGGATTTTTGGCAGTGGTGAAAACCCAAGTCTTTCCAATCATTCTTTGGTTAGAGCAGAGGTTCCCAAACTGTGGGGCGCGCCCCCTAGGGGGGGCCCCTTGTCATTGCAGGGGGGGCGCGGGAAGCCGTCTGG